TTGTTATAGTTTTTGTATGTCTACGGTGGAAAATATAGCGGTATGATTTATTAGCGGAGTAATTTGAAAATTGGGAATTTTCCCCTTTGAGTTTAACTCTAAGGTGGCAATCATGCGATGAGTTTGATTATGGTCCGTCTTTTTTTTATATATGGAACTTATCTCACAGATATCGAATATGGTAACCGAAAAAAAATTCTCAATTTTGAAAATCATACACTTCACTTTGCATGAATCAAGCCTGTGACGTTATTGATCTTTATGACAAAATCTGGCTCAGATCTTGCTGGACATTTCAGTTATAACAAGTCGCTGGCTCAGATCTTTATGACAAAATCTGGTTTTGATTTTTTTGATGAGATAAGGAGGAGATTTGTTTGTACATTAGTTAACTAACTTGTTTTCCTCGTGAAAAAATTATTTTTCTTTCAATTGAAATGTCAATCTTTTTAATCCATACCACACATGTAAATTTTACTCTCTTATAAGTGAAAACCTTTATGAATAGTTATTATACTACAAGTGTATTATAGAATCCATATGCATACACATAATATAAAATTTTGTGTCGAATCAAGCTACGATCATTTTGGGATAGGTAGCACAATCCTTTACCCTACTCTTATAAGGTTTCTTATATTTTGCAACTCTTCTCTTAATACCTCCAATCAATTCAACTCAAGACAAATTGATGCTCCAAATTGTGTTTAATAATTCCGCCACTGTTCGTATGATCGTATCGTATGATGCCCTCAGCTTCTGTAAAAAGTGGAAGGTTTCCACTTTAGTCCATAAATTAGAGGGAGGTTATCAATATATTTTTATCAGTTAAGTCTTGGTTACTGAGCTGTTTGATATCGATATTGGTTGTAGGTAAAAAAAAGTCCAAGGCGTTGGCAAATTGACATGCAACATTTTCAAATATAAGTAAATATATAAATTAATGAACCTTATCTCTAATAATGAGCTTGTTCAATCAAATTTTGAACCGGTCAAAAAGTCAAATCAGATCATGATCCAAACTTGTCTAATTTGTTTGGCTCAAGCTGAGTCAAATAACAAGTCATAATTCAAATCCCACAATATAATTTTAGCTTTCCCTCCTTAAATATACTTTTTATTTTTTTTAAAAATGAAAGCTATTATATTTCTCTAAGTAAATTATTAGCTTAAATTCTTCCGGTATATAATTTTCAATCTCTAAGCCCTCATTTGGCCATAGATTTTGCCAAATGTTTTTTAATTTTTTTTGGCATATTCCTGTTTGTTTATAGATTTTATTCATCTTATCTATATCTATATCTATATTATATATTATTATAAAAGTGGGGAACCTTTTAAGTTAAAAGTTAAATTACCTTATTACCCCTTGAAAACCTAATACCTTTTTTATATAGCATAAAAAAGACGCTAGCTTAGCAACCGTCCTGAACGGCCAAACCAGCTTTCATGCGAAGGGATAGGACGTTTGGAAACCATTCGTTATTCATTCATATGAATGGATGTGTATTTTCTTTTGTTCTTTTATAAATCTGATTCTTCCATGTTTTAACATTCACTTCGAATCTTCGATCGTCTTCGTGTCCCTCAGTCGTGAGTTATAAAGTTATGGAGGCCAATCAGACTACACAATTGAACATATCCATTTTCCAGCGAGAATTGTAAAAATGTTCTGCCTTCCATAAAGCTAGGAAGAATGGAAATAGGCCAAGGACATCACCAACATGACGAGTAAGCTAATAAGTCATGGCTAAGTTATTGTATTTAGGTGCACATATTTTTCTATTCTGATTATATTTCATCTTACCTCAAGATTGTGGGTTTTTGTTGACTTCAACCATGCTATTTGATTCTTTTATTGAGAAACAATTATTTTGATCAAAAATTTGGTGAGAATGGTATGTTCCATTAGTTTTTAAACATCTGTTATCTTGCTCTTTAATCCCTTGTGTAGTGGCACAACTGTATTGTGCAGCAGATCATCAATTCTCAAATGTGTCACTTGATAGTCTTCTATAGTTTTTTGAATGTTTTAAATCCTGCTAGATATATTGTGATGAAAAGAAAAATGTTACTTGTGAAAAAGGCATATCCTTGCAAGAAAGATGATACAATAGTTAAGCAAATTGTTCATAAGAACGTAATCATACGCACTTTACCGACAAAAAGCAGTTTGTTGTGTTGGGAGGGGATAATCTAGCAACATCTGCCATCTAGCCTACCCTTCTCTGGCCCTCCAGCAACTAATTACTAATTATTGTACAAATATAAACGATGAGTAATACTCATGTAACAAAAAAATCCGAAATATACAACAAAATTGAACAAATCCAAACTGATATATATAATTGGTTTGATTTGATTTTGATAAAAATCAAACCAACTTGATCCACAACCCAAATAAAAGTAAGATTAGATATTGTACTGAAGTCTCTGATCACTTTAATTGTTTCTTAGGTATTTTAGTTGGTGTATATATGTGGTTTATAGTAAAACAATGCTCTTAGGGTGCATTTTATCTCTTTAACATGATTACTGCTCTATAATCATAACGTTGAAGAAGTGTGCAGCTTCTTTTTCTTCTTCTTCTTCTTCTGTGAATATGAGCGCAATATTCAACTCATCATATAGGGTTATTACTCAACTTCTTTTGTCATCACCAAAATATACAAAGAGGTATCATATGAATTGTATAATCAAAATCAATGAAAGGCTTCCCTAGAAAAGGATCAATTGGTTTTGTGGCTCATTATTTTTTCCTTAGTCTTATGTTAAATCTCCTAAAAATATTTATTTTACATGTAAGAAATTTGAAAATAAAGTAAAAGAGCTATATTGAACCAATTGCTAAAAGGAAGCACTACGAATGAGTAATTAGGCATTTGATTAACATTTAGAAGCATTATGGTATCTATTTTTCCTATGCATACACATTAACTGGAGCATGTGTTTCGATACGTGACGATGAATGGGATTAAGGATTGTTTATATCAGGTGGTATTTAAACTTATCATGCAGTTCATTTTCAAAATTGATGTTGCGTTGCCTCAAACAAAAATGTTCATCATACATGTTTTGAATAATACACATTTATTTGTTCAATCTTATGCACTCGGATTAACTCATAGTGCTATGGCATAATTTAAAGAGGTCAATACATTTGAGAAGCCAATTCAGCGTTGTTTTCTCACGTGGCCAACTTCACGTTACACTTTTAAGAGGGATATCAATGTCGATAACAAGAGTTCTGGTCAGAGCAATTAAATGTTTGAAACAGGTGAAAGGAATATACAGTAGGAATATTGTCTATACGGGAATATTATGCCAGATCCACTTTATTACATATTTGTACACCATAAAATTGAAATAAGTAAAAAAAAATTATATTATTTAATTAAGTTTTATTTGTTTATCTTTTGCATTCATATGATATTCAATCATCTTGATCTCGATAAACAAGTCATATACGATGATGATTCATATAAACTTGTACTTCATTAATTCATATATAATTATTTGCTGAAATCGTTTCAATAATATTGATATAATTTTATAAAATTGTATACTACATGACTAATATACACGTGCAACGCACGTGCCGAGAGACTAGTTATTATAAAAGTGGGAAGCCCAAAACTAAAAAGTTAAAAGACTTTAATGCCCTTTCAAATCAAACAAACTTAACGTTTTAAATATGGATAAATAAAATATTTTGGTGAAGAGTTGTGTCTTAAGATGAAATTAAGGTTGCATATTTTCATTTTAAGTTGATTTTTTCTTCCCTATAAATTGTTTATACTTTTGAAATCAAGTCTTCCGTTTCCAATGTGACTTACATAGAAGTTTGGAAAATATTTTTCTTCAAAAAGTATAGCAATTTTGATTTTGAAGTCGCGGGAGCACGATATACCGAAATTCTCTATACGACATATAGTGGTTCTTCCATCTCTACTTCTTTATTTATACAAAGAAATGAATGAAAAATGGAAAATTAATTCACACCGTTTCGTTTCTCTCTTTGAAGTTGAAAGAGTAACAAGGTTCTCGATCCACTCATAGTTGTACGTTGAGTTGGATAATGAGTAAGAAACTGCTAATTTCTTTTCGAGGTATTAATTACAACACATGTGTATGAATGCCTAGGTAGAGTGGTGGTTTTGTTGCCAATGCCACACCAAGCGGAAATGGCAAAGGGCTGCACAGTACTGCATGCACTTCTCGAGGAAGCAAATTGTGACTTGATGACGGCTTTGAAATTGTGAAGATATATGGTCAAAGCCAGCCAGGGCCCATGCAGGGAAAAATTATACTATACTAAAATGAATTCAAGTACGTCAAGGGCTGGAGGAAATTTTTCATCTGCCCTTGTTGCACGTACAACGTACAACTACATTACATTTTCCTGTTTGATGCTTATGGAAATTCCTTCGTCACTTCCAATATAAGATTCTAGCCGTCTTGACATTACTTTCTAAAACTCCACTCATTGTGAGTTTTGTGAAATTTATTACTCTTAAAAATGATTGGAATAATTCGGACTACAAGAGTCAAAGTACCGTAAATTTGGACATAGATTCTTTAAGTTTTTGAAAATAAAATTTATATTTTTGCAAACTACATAAAGAGTATTATAAGTCATAATAAATCATAATTTAAAATATATAAAATTAAAATATGGTCAAAGAACAACCTTGTAAACTTCCCAAATAGCCCCAATTTTTTTAAAACATGAGGAGTATCATAAATATTCGAGTAGGTTATCCGTACTCTTCTCATATAATCTTCCCAAATAGTAATATCCCCAATTAATCAGTTTATTTTTTGCTTTTTCAGTTGTGTTTCTTCAAAGTGTACATATGTTATTACTGATTGAGTCGCTGTAATTTTTTTAGTATAAAAGTAAATACAAATATTTTTATCAAATAATAGTATAATATATGTGAATAAAAAGAACATTGGAGTAACGGTAGAGTTATTTACGGGTGATCTATATGACATGAGTCCGACCTTAGAAACAACAACTAATGATTGCATTAGAGTATATAGGCTGTTTATATTACATTACTTGGGGTGCGGTCCTTCCCGGGACCATGTATGACAAGTTACCTAGTGCAGCTGCCCAATATAATGTATGTGAATATATGTAGATGCACATGCACCTAAACACACATGTATAATTATATGTATATGTTGGCTTTGGATCACTATGTACATCTTTATTACGTAGTAACATATAGTATTACAATTAATTTTCATTTGTTTCCTCTTAATTTATTATGTGATGAGTATACGAATTGTGACAAAAGTACAATATTAATCAATACTCGTAACTAATAACTTTGCTCGGTTTACCTGATTTTTTGTGTATGTTTGTCATGATTTTGCTATATTTAATTTCCTTGTATAAAATGCAACATATTTCCATTCAACATATTTTCATCTTGGGGTAAAAACATATCTTGGCACGTATAGATAAAATGACATGATCAATCAATAAAATTGATAATGTTCGAAGGGACATAAAATAATAATTATTAATATTAGTACCTCTATATGCAACATATCAACCTCGGCAAAGAAGCAACCGCACGACGATTTCATTCATAGAAATTTATACTTTATTTTTTAATGTATGATAATTTTTTTAAAGCTTAGTTGAATACTGTTATTTTTATTTTACAAATCATGTAGCATTACATAACTTGACATACACGTGGAAACTAATATATTGAAAAAATTTCAAATCCTAATATTTTTCAATTTTTTTATTCATATTTTTGGCCAAAAATATTACTGTTTGGTTTTAAAAAAAAATAAAAAATTGTCCCAAAATTTTGTATTTTTAATTTTTTTTTACTTAGCTATATTATTATAGAAACCTATTTACTATATTTATTTAGGTTCCTTATTGATTACTTTATATACCTATATTTACTAGTTTTATACAAAACCATAAAAAGGAGGAAATGAAACATACATTAAATATTGGGTATCAGTTACACATAATCCCCTACATTTAAGATACTCTTCCTTTATCCAAGGAAAACTATATATGTCTTTGTACTTTCCCAAAATCATCACCTCTCTTTGTATTTATCCAAAATCATCACCGTAAGAAACCCACTGCATCCCAAAATCATCACCTCTCTTTGTACTTACCCACAATAAGAAACCAATTGATACCCATAATCTTTCTAACCCAAAAATCTAGCTTACTCACTTCTCTTCCAAAGCTGTTGATATACGATTTCTCTCTTTAATCGTCCAAAATCTCTTTTTATTTATACAATACAGAAGAAATTCGAATATTTGCTCTACAATCAAGTTGTTGGTAAGCTTCACTCTACATTAAAGTTGGTTTTAGGTTGAATTTCATAATGGAACTCGAGGAAGATGAAGTTTCGGAATTGTATTACGATTGTATGATAAAGGTATCATAATTGTATCTGAGTTGTATTTGATACATCAATACCTAAGACAATTCTGATACAATACTAATACTATTAAAATACAATATTGTATTATAATTTAAGTTTAGAGCTGGTTCTAGGTGGATGTTTTACATTGAAACTTGAAAAGGATGAAGATCAAAGTTGTATCATAATTTAGGATTGTATTACAATTTGTACCTAAAACAATACATGATACAATACTAATACAAGTATAATACGATATTGTATCAGTTTAAGTTTAGAGTCGGTTTTAAGTTGTATCATAATTGTGTAAGAATTCTTTCAGGATTGTATCAAATTTGTATTTGAATTATGAGCAGTTGTGAGATCGTGACGAATTTCACAGTTTGTATCACAAATGTATGATAATTATATATTAATTTATTAGTATTGTATCAGGTATTATTTTAGATATTAATGTACCATCTACAAGTTATATACAATTGTGATACAAATATGATACAATTACGTTATACGTATTGATGTATCTGATACAATTATGATACATTTATCATACAATTCCTGAATATTTCTTTATTTTCAGTGTTGTCCGGTCTCCCAACAAAAGAACGATGCAATTGATGATTTAATAATATAAAATTATCGGCAATGGTGGGAAGAGAGAAGATGGAAATTCTGGGTGTAGATTAAGAAATTTTGTTGTAAAAAAAAAAAAAAGAGAGAAGAGGAGAGGGAAAAAAAGGAAAGGATATAATTGAATCTCTTAATTGAAGGCACTAATAATGGGGTGAGAGTTTTTTAAGGAGCAATCTACACAATTTGTAAGAAAAACCTAGATACTTATTAAAAACTTCAAAACATAGAGAACATTAGTAAATAAGTTTCTAATATAATATAACTAGGTAATAGTCCCTTAAAAAAACCCACTTTCTGTTATTATGACCCAACTAATCTATATCTACCCACTTTTCCCTCATTAAACTCACGCGACTTTGCACTTCTCTATTAGTAGAAGAAAACCTTCGCCAAAGTTGTTGTGCCAATATGTGGCAATCCACCTCAAAGACAAAATTTGAAGGTAATTTGTTAAAATTTGGTAATGTTAGTATAAATTTTCTTTAGATTTGTTTTGCTTGTTTTGTATGAATTTTCTTTAGATTTGTTTCGCTTTTTTTGTATGAATTTTGTTCTAAGTTACTGGATATTTTTAATTTTAAAACTTATGGGTGTAAATCATATATATATTTTTTCAAAAAAAAGAAGAAGTTAAGATAACAGCAGGCACAAGCAAGTTGATCGAAGGGGACCAATGCTTCTACTCCTCCACCGAGGAGCCGTTCTTGCGAGAAGCAAGGGATGTCGTGAACGGTGGAAGGTCACAGAGAATTGACCTATTTATAGAGTGGTCTTATGATTGATACATGATATAGACTATCTCATTCTTTATTCTTTCTGGAAGAAAATAAAAGGGTGACTCAACTTCTAAGCTAGACTTGGTGATGAGACCTATTAGCATAATGCACCATGGAACGTGGGAATTCGAGGTCTCTTAACTACTACTAAAAATCAATTTTTTTGTTTTGTTTGTGGACAAACGATATTCGGTCAGGCCTATGGCTGGATACTTTTAGATCTAAGGTCATATTTTGAAAAATGCGTTAAATCAAAATTTACCCGAATCAAATTTTTTAAAATAAATTTCTCTGTCCAAACGCCACCTAAATTTGATGCCGTATGTTTCGTGGCATTTCAGGAAACTGGTTATAATAAAGGGGTTTGAAATGTAATTACAGCATTAGTTTCCGCCATCTTCCTCTCTCCCGAAAAATGCAATTTAATCAAAAACCTTCAGCTCCATTACCGCTGCCATGGCCACAAAAGCACAAAGAAACCTCTCAATTTTCTACACTAGAAGACACTTCACCGTCGCCGGAGCCAAAGTCGCCGGAACGAGGTCTCCGGCATCATCGAAGATTGGAAACTTACTCGTCGTCGCTTCAATTACAAAAGCTTTGACAGCACCAGGAGGAACACGTAACCTAGAAAAATACAACGATTCAATTGCCGTATCAGAAAACCTAGTCCTTCAAATCCTTCGCCGTAACAATTTAGACGCCGCCACTAAACTCGACTTCTTCAAATGGTGCTCTCTCAGGCCCAATTTCAAACACTCAATAGAAACTTACTCTCAAATGTTCAGATCCATTTGCTATTATAATTCTCACAATCACCGGGAAGATATATTCGTTCTCCTCAACTCCATGAAGCATGACGGAGTGTCGCTTAATTCAGCCACATTTAAGTTGTTGCTCGACTCGTTTACTCGAGCTGGTAATTTCAATTCTGCGCTTGAGCTTTTGGAATTCATGGAGAGTGATCTGGAAAATTCTAATAATAATTGTTTAAGTCCTGATGTGTATAATTCTGTGCTTATTGCACTTGTACAAAAAAATCAAGTTAGTTTAGCTTTGTCAATTTTCCTTAAATTGTTGGAAACTAATGATGGGAATGGTAATAGCATTGGGATTAGCGATGCTGTTGCATGTAATGTGTTGCTTGTTGGTCTTAAGAGGGCTAATATGAGGGATGAATTTAAACAAGTTTTTGATAAGCTTAGAGGAAAGAAGAATATTTTTCCGTTGGATAGATGGGGATATAACATATGCATTCACGCATTCGGGTGTTGGGGGGATTTGTCTAGTTGCTTGAGTCTTTTTAAAGAAATGAAGGAAAGGGGAAGTTGGTTTAGTCCCGACTTGTGCACTTATAATAGCTTGATTCATGTGCTTTGCTTGCTCGGGAAGGTTAAGGATGCTCTTGTTGTGTGGGAGGAATTGAAGGGATCTTCGGGTTTGGAACCTGATGTTTATACTTATCGAATTGTTATACAAGGTTGCTCTAAGGCTTACCTGATAAATGATGCGATAAAAGTGTTCAGTGAGATGCAGTATAATGGTATACGTCCGGATACTATTATTTATAACTCCCTCTTAGATGGATTGCTCAAGGCGAGAAAGTTGAAAGATGCGTGCAATTTGTTTCAGAAAATGATTGAAGATGATGGTGTTCGAGCCAGTTGTTGGACCTATAATATTCTTATTGATGGATTGTTTAAGAATGGGAGGGCTTTGGCTGCTTGTACCCTATTCTGTGATTTGAAGAAGAAAAGTAATAATTTTGTGGATGGCGTTACTTATAGCATTGTCATTTTGCATCTTTGTCAGGAAGGTAGGCTTGATGAAGCACTGAAGTTGGTGGAAGAGATGGAAGCTAGAGGGTTTACTGTTGATTTGGTTACCATAACTTCTCTTTTGATTGCGATTTACCGGGAGGGGCATTGGGACTATACAGAGAGGCTTGTAAAGCACGTTAGGGAGAACAATTTAGTTCCAATTATTCTCAGGTGGAAAGACAGTATGGAAGCTACAATGAAAGCTCCACAGAGCAGAGAAAAGGATTTTACACCCATTTTTCCATCCAATGGGAACTTTGGTGATATTCTAAGCCTAGAAGATTTAACAGACCCTGAGACTGATACTGCCCTTGGGGTAGAGGATGAAAGGGATCCGTGGTCATCATCACCATATATGGACTTGCTGGCTAGTAAAGCGAGCTCCCAAAGTCATGCTACAAGAGCGTTCTCTCTTACCGGAGGAAAACGAGTAGACACTAAAGGTGCAGATTCTTTTGATATTGACATGGTGAATACCTTCTTATCAATATTTTTGGCCAAAGGAAAATTGAGCATGGCTTGTAAGTTATTTGAAATTTTCACCGACATGGGTGCTGACCCTGTTAGTTATACTTACAACTCTATGATGGGTTCATTTGTCAAGAAGGGATATTTCGACCAGGCTTGGGGTGTTTTAGAGAAAATGGACAAGAAGGTTTGCCCTGCTGATGTAGCAACTTACAATGTGATAATCCAAGGGTTGGGAAAGATGGGAAGGGCTGATCTTGCCGGTGCAGTACTCGACAAGCTGATGAAACAGGGGGGTTACCTTGACATTGTAATGTATAACACCTTGATAAATGTGCTCGGGAAGACTGGCAGAATTGAGGAAGTAAACAAGCTTTTCCAGCAGATGAAAGATAGTGGAATCAATCCAGATGTTGTCACTTACAATACACTAATCGAAGTTCATGCAAAGGCAGGTCAGCTTAAGCAAGCTTACAAGTTTTTAAGGATGATGTTGGAAGCAGGGTGTGCCCCCAATCATGTCACTGACACAACTTTGGACTTTCTGGAGAAGGAGATTGAAAAACTGAGATACCAGAAGGCTTCCATTAAACGCCCCAATGTAGATAACTCATTATGAGAAGCACTTTAACCTTTAGAGGAGTGAGTTCAGGTATGATGTTCTTCCATAAACTAGTGAATTCAGCATTTGCATTGTATTCAATATTGTTTAAACAGTTGTTCTTCTGGTTTAAAGTGGGATTTTTTTTAAAAGTAAAGGCAGGCAATTCATATGGCTGGTATTCAGAATAGAGTTGGTTTTTCATGAATGTAAAAGCAGGTAAATTTTCTACAAACACAATTCAGGAACTACTTTGATTTTCTTTTAATGCGTAGTCTGGAGATTTGAAGTTTGATTGATGTTTGCCATTGATCTTGTTGTTTTATTTTTTATGTTTTATCTATGGCTTTCCGTAAGCAAACATGTTTCTGATACTTCTGGCTTTTTTTGAAGTAATTGAGTATTTGTATGCTCATTGGTAATGCATTCTGACCTTTTAACACTTGAGTTTATATTTTGAAATGTAATTCGAATTATGTTGGTCGCCAGATTTGATTACCTTATTTGGCATAGGGCTGAAGTTTATATCTACTTAGAGGATAGATAATTCATTTGATTAAATAATTCGTTATAACCAGTGTTCTGATTTTTTGAGAATGCAATGTGATTGGTTAGAGCTAAAAATCTGGATTTGGCTAGGGCTTTTCCGGTCCACTTAGTCTATCGTACCCGTCATGCAGAGTTCAGATCAACTCAGAAATTTATGAAGACTGGAAGCTATAGCTTACAGAACTATAATCGCAAGATTAGGTAAATAAAAATGAATAGTCAGTCTCCATATAAATACTCTTCATTGATAGATTCTTAAAAATCACATCTTCTATTATGGTTCTCTTTTAGTGACCTTGTAGGTGCACCAAATACAGCACTAGAGTTTTCAAGAGATATGATTCCCGTTTTGCTTGGTTTGTTACATGACTTGCATAACTTGTTATCTCAGGAACTATATATGCCTGACATTGTCCTCATTCTGCATTTCCAAATTATGCTCTTACATTCTCCAAGCTCCATGTCTTCAGTTTTTCATTCGAACAAATTCTTATATTTTAGGAGTTTCAGGAAGAAGTTGAATTCATAGAATCAAGTTTCTAGAATTCATAGCAAAAGTGAGTGCAAAGGGTTGTCAAAACTCATAAATTGGAGAAACAAAGAAGCAGAAGAAAACCATCTGACAGGGAGTTGATGATGGCACAGAACTGAGCTCTCACAATGGCTGTTTCTCATCATAGTAGATTGCTTTGAAATGTTGCTGCTGGCCAATGAGCTGCTGACTGGCTAAATTTGAGATGTCAGGGGGGAGAATAAGTTTGAAGATAAGAGAAAGCTAGAAGTTAATTGAACATATCATGGAAGCATGCATCTATTGGCAGCAAATACATGTGGATTGACACCTCATATATTATATTCTCCGAAGAATAAGAAGGTCAATACACCCGTCAAATAAGTAGGATGAAAAACATAGGAGACCAGGGTTCAATTCCACCAAGAGTGGCGAAAAAGCTAAGTGATTTCTTCCTATCTGCTAAGCCCTGATGAACAGAGTTATCCGGGATCTAGCTTCAAATCCTCATGCCAAGGTGGAAGAAATAAGGGGATAACAGGGCTGTAATTTGAACTTTTGAAAACTGCTGAATGATTGGGAAGTTGATAGAGTTGCTGCATTGGTAAACCAAATTGATCAACTGCAAGGCCTCACAGACTGTGAGGATTCTTTGGTATGGAAGGGGTCAAGCACCAGATATTTCTCAGTGAATTCTGCTTACAAAAGCCTAATGGGCAATGCCCATTTTGGTAGGAGTTGGCCTTGGAAACTAAAAGGTAAATACACCCACAAAGGTGCTATGGTATGGTTAGTGGCCAGAAAAGCTTGCTTGACCGATGAAAAGCTTAAGAGAAGGGGATATCAACTGCCCTCCAGATGCTATCTCTGTGGAAAGGAAGCAGAACACAACTCCCATCTGTTTCTTCACTGCATTGTTACCTCTCAACTGTGGCACATATTTCTGAATATTGTCAGAATGAACTGGGTCATGCCAAAAGATACAACTGACCTCTTGAGATGTTGGGCTGGTGTGACAGGTGGAGTCAGACAGTAGAAATGGTCCCAGCATGCATTTGGTGGACAGTCTGGAACGAGAGGAACTCCAAATGTTTCGAGGATTTTAGCAACTCTATTCAGAGAATCAAAATGAACTGTTTAGTACTTTTTCTTTTTCGGTGTAAAGAATGCCCTGTAAATGATAGTGACTCCATACTTGATAGTTGATACCATAGAATCCTTGTAAGTTTCTGTAGTAGGGGATTCTTTACTGTTTTTGGTATATGTATTTGTCACTTTTAGCAGCACAAACTTTGTGCTGTTTTCTTTTATAAAGTGTTACCATTCTCAAAAGAGTTATCCGGGATCTATGCTAGTGGGACTTGTGCAAAATTTTTGGAGATAACACTCTGTTACAACTTCAGAAGTGTGTACGGCTCTTCTCGTGGAGATAAGGAATTCAATGAAGACGTGAAACTAGAAGAACGTTGAAGCAACCCAAAGCAGACACGCCTCAGAACGCAAGGAAGTGAAGTACAAAAGTATGGAGGTATCAGCTGACTGAACACTGCCTAATATTAACTAGGTTGAATATCTTAATTTAATGTACCATACAAAGCATATGCATTTGAGTTGCTTTCTGTTTCTATCTTAGACTTGCTAGTTTACTTGAGAGTTGGATTATATTTATTCATTCTTTTCCATTAGTTACTTGTGCTTTATAGAACATTTCCTTTTGTATTTCTAGTTCTTGAACATTTCCTTTAGTACTCGAAATTTCATCAACAGATTCTCGAATTTGTTAATACTGTTACTATTAATGTTTAATATTAATATA